CTAGGAGCTTTAAAAGTCATGATGAATCCAAATTCTTTGTCTTGGACAGCTCTTAAGCATCTAAGTCCTCGGTTCTTGAGTTTCTCCATTCACTAACCATTGTTGATCCTAGGAGGAGAAGATGCCAACAAAGGGTTAAGTGGTGGAAGAGCACTCCGTTGGGGGGAGATTAAACCTCAAACGGATGAGGTGCTCCATGAATGAGCACTTTCATAAATGGCCATCAACAAAGAAGCACAAAGGGCTACTCTCTAAACTCTAATTTGCTTATTCTATTTACTTATCTCAATATGTTACTCTAGCTTCTCTTATATGCATACTCAAGTTTCATCTAAATTTTTCTTAAAACCCCACGGCATATACTTTAAAATTTTTCTTTAAATCTCATAATGAAGGTTTAAAAGAAAGGAGGAATGCGTGGAAATTCTCAAAAAGAAGGTCTAGATGAAATGAAGAGGCCCATAAAGAAGAAGTGGAGGCAAGAAGGGTGTAGGTGCTCAAGTTGGTCTTAACTCAAATGCAAAAGTGTCTCACCCGCATAATGGAGTAAACGGAGAGTAGACCCGATATCTTGTTGATGAGAGAGCCTTCTCACCAAGCTTGTAAGGAAANAAGNCGTGAAGAGCTATGATGAAGAAAATGTACACTAAGCTTGCAAGAAGACAAGCCGTGAGGTGGGAAATACTGTAGGAGCCTGCTCATCACAAGTTCAAGAGATGTCCAAGATTCATCACAAAATTTTGGCACAATCATGCTCACCTAGCCGAGAAGATTCCCGAGCCTTATTTAGTCCATACGAAGTCCAAGATCAACTGGTCCAGCCCAACGACCACCTNAAATCTGTTCTTAGCTCATCTACAAAGCGTATCGAAGTGGAATCAACCCAATAGAAGTTCAAAAGAAGGAGTTATTCAATTTACAAACGAGGTGATCTACAACCTACTCGGTTTGGACATACGTACACTCATTGGAGGATTCTGATCAGACCAGAAGGAATGAAGCTACGAAACAAATTTTCCTACAATCTGGACTCAAGAGAGACTCACGGCGAGTTCGAATCAAGTCAATACCGTTTTTGGTTTAGGAGATATGAATTTTCTAAACCAAAGGAACCAAAATGGTCTTGTTTGGAATCTAAGGAGAAGGTTGTGCACAAGGCTTCAAGATTGGCCCTCATTACACGTCTGAACCAATCTTGAGGGGGAGTATCAAGGAGGTGCCAACCAAATGAAGCTCCANGATAGTGCAAACAAGTGGCTATTGAAGGATGGCAACTTGAAGCACAAGTCAAGTCCTTAAAGCCCACGGAGTTATCAAGGAAGTGCTCAAAGTCTGGAAAACCATAGAAATGGCGTTTTTTATTGAAGCAGACCTTGAAGCCACAAGAAGCTTATTAGAGAGGAGGCAGCAAGAAGAGGAGCAAGACCGAGGCAAGCAAAGAGAAGCCGAGGTTGAAGCTCAAAGAAGAAGGAGCAAAGCCGAGGAAAGGCAAAGGCTCCAACAATCTATCAAGACCTTGATTCATACTTCCTTGGATC